CCCCGCAGCCCAAAGATCCCCAGCAGGCTCAGGGGGCTGCTTGCCAACAGCCACCGCCCCGGGGCCCTCTCCCACCCCAAAGGCAGCCCAGGGAACCTCCCGTGCCCCATGGGCTCCAGGAGTGCCCGGCCCTGGAGTCAGGGATGGTTGGCTGACCTACCTGCTCCTCCATCCCCACCACCCCTGGCCGTGGGGCAGTGTGGGGGGCAGGCAGGCTCACCCCCTGCCCATCCACAGGTGGCCCTGCAGTGCCTCTGGAGCATCAAGATCGTGGTGCTGGTGAAGCCGGAGCACGAGCGGCGCATCAGCCACGTCCACACCTCCAGCGTGAAAACCGGGATTGCCAACACGCTGGGTAGGGATGGCATGGCATGGCATGGGATGCCCAGAGTGAGGGGACAGCCCAAGGGCCAGGACAGGACCTCTGGGCTCCCCCAGAGCTCAGTGGCAGCACATCCCTGCAGGAAACAAGGGAGCCGTGGGTGTCTCCTTCCTTTTCAACGGGACCTCCTTCGGCTTCATCAACTGCCACCTGACCTCTGGCAGTGAGAAGACCCACAGGTGATGGAGGGGCTCGGAGGGATGGGGCTGCCCCAGGGCAGGTGGGTGTCTCAGGGGGCTGGAGGAGTGCTGAGGGGCTGTCCCTGTCCCCACCCAGAAGGGGCAGGATGAGGATGAGGTGTCTCACACAGGGTGGCTCACACGGTGCTGCCGTCCCCCCCACAGGCGTAACCAGAACTACAGTGACATCCTGCACTCCCTGGTCCTGGGTGACAAACGTCTGGGGGGCTTCGATCTCACCCTGCGCTTCACCCACCTCTTCTGGTTTGGGGACCTCAACTACCGCCTGGACATGGGCGTGGAGGTGGGACCCCCCCAGGGACCACGCCGGGGTCAGCAGGGCGAGAGGAGCCCCTGGGACTCACCAACCCTTCCCCCTCGCCACAGGACATCCTTGCTCATGTCACCAAGAAGGAGTTTCAAGCCCTCTTGGCTGTGGACCAGCTCAACCTGGAGCGGGAGAAGAACAAGGTGTTCCTGCGGTTCAGTGAGTGTGGGGACGAGGGTGCTGCTCCCCCCGCTGGGACAGCGGCACCCGGGGTCCCCACAGCCCTCCCCCCGTGCCACCCCCAGCACTCAGGGGTCCCCTGTCCTGGCACAGCCCTGCACAGGGTGCCCAGAGCCTGGGGGACCTTGATGTGCACGATGCCAGGGGTGCCAGCTGTTGGTGTGAGCCTCCCATGGGGACCAGGACACCCTACAGGGACAGTTGCTGTGGGGACAGGCAGGGACAATGGCCCCCGTGCCACCTCCATGTCTCTGTTCCCAGGTGAAGGTGACATCTCCTTCCCACCCACGTACCGGTACGAGCGGGGCTCCCGGGACACCTACGTGTGGCAGAAGTTCAAGCCCACGGGGGTGAGTTCCTGGAGCCTCCTTCCAAACAGGGCATCTCTGGGAATGGTGACAGCAGGGTGCCGAGGGGCTGCATGGTGATCTCCGCCCCACACCATCCTGTTTCCTCCCCAAAGAGGGTCTGGGCAGGAGGGAACTCACTTTTTGGGGTGCTGGAAGGCCTTTCTGGGCTGGGGGAGCCACACCTGAGGGGATCTGAAGCAGGTGCTTTCCCCGTTTCTAGGTGAGGATCAACGTCCCCTCGTGGTGTGACCGCATCCTGTGGAAGTCACACCCGGAGACCCACCTGGTCTGTAACTCCTACGGTGAGTGAGAACCCAGCGATGGGGGAGCCTGGGGTGGCCAGTGCTGCCCAGGACCCCAAGGCTGGGGGCTGTCACCCAGCTGCCCCCTGCCACCGTCCAGGCTGCACCGATGACATCGTGACCAGCGACCACTCGCCCGTCTTTGCCACTTTCGAGGTGGGAGTGACGTCGCAGTTTGTGCCCAAGGAGGGTAAGGGGTTGGGATGTGTCACCCCCGTGCCCAGTTTGGGGCAAGCCCTGGCACACACTCACCCACTGGTACCTGTCTGCAGCCCCTGGCTCCAGCCCCAAGGCGCTGGCCTGCATCGAGTGGGAGAGCATCGAGGTGATCCTGAAAACCACCAGCCGCAGCAAGTGCTACATCGAGTTCCACTCCTACTGCCTGGAGGGTGAGGGGGTGCCCGGGGTGCTGGGGGTGCATCAGGGGGGTGAGCTGGCCCTGCTCGAGCTGTGCCCCCGCTGTGCCCCACAGAGATGCAGCGGAGTGGGGAGAACACCTTCCAGAACTGTGACATCCCAGGATTCCTCAAGTTGGGCTGGTCCGCAAAGCATCTGCCTGTGGTACACAGCCCTGGAGCATCCTCCTGCCTCCTCTTCCCCATCCCTCCCTCTGAATCCAAACCCTGAGCCCCAAGGGGTGCTGGGGGCTGTCACCGCCCCCAGGGCAGAGCCTCCCTGTGCCCCCCTACCCTGCAGCAGCCCCCAGAGCACCCCCTCTCCACATGCAGCTGAACCCCATCCTGCCAGACCTGGAGTACCTGGGGGACCAGCACCTGCTCCTCAGCATCAAGGGCGTGGAGAGCTGCGAGTCCTACGGTAGGTGCAGGATGGTGACATGGGGGTGCCAAGCTCAGCCCCACAGGTAACAACACCCTGCTGGCTGTCAGGTTTGGCAGCTGGAGCTCGGCAGGAGGGACGCTGGCACCCAACATATTCCAGAGCGCTGCTGCACACGGGGGGCTCAGCTGCCCCCCACGGGCTGACACCGGTGTGCCCTGTGCCCCCAGGCGAGTGCTGCATTGCCCTGAGGTCAATGATCGGCAGCACAGCCCAGCAGTTCGAGACCTTCCTCTTCCACCGTGGTGAGGAGACGGGCTCCGTGCGCGGCTGGATGCGGGTCCGGGTGCCCACGGAGCGCTGCAGCACCCGCGAGAGGCTCTATGGTATGGGGGGCACCCCAGTCCCTCCCAGCACTGGGCACAGGGCTGCCCGTGCCCACACTGGCCCCTGAACCCCAGCCTTGGGGTGAGCCCAGACTTGGGTGCCTTTGCAGAGTGGATCAGCTTTGAGGAGGAGGATGCTGAGCCGGTGACAGAGGCCCCGCTGCGCCCCAAACCAGCCCTGCAGCGCCTCAGGTACCCGACCGGGCCCAGCCCCGCCGCGAGCAGCGGCCATGGGGGATGCTGAGCCCTCTCCCGCTCCGTTCCGCAGGAGTCGGCCCCGCAGCCTCCCCGAGGCCACCGACTACACCAACCCAGCCTACTTCATCTTCGAGGGGGTCCCCAACACGTGGGTGCCGGCCCCCGGCGAAGCCCCCAGTGAGCAGGCAGAGAGCCCAGCCGGGGGTCAGCGGCGCCGGAGCCCCCCCGGGCCGCGGGTCCCTTCGTGCCCAGGGGAGGAGCAGCGGGGTGGCCGATCCCGCCGCGTGGCACCGAGCCCATCCTGTGGGCACCCACTCAGCCCCCCCGGCGTGGGCCACCACAAGAGACCCAAATCGGCCATCCTGGCTCGGGACGCGGCGGGGCTGGGGGGCTGCTTCGTGGCCACCCACCCGAGCCCGGTGTCCCCCGAGGGCAGAGGGGACATCCAGGAGCTGCGCCAGCCCCAGCGTGTCCTGCAGCCGCCCCCGCGGCCCTGCCGGGAGCTGCCGAGGCCCCCCGGGAAGGGGGGAGCGCTGGGTGCGCTGGACCTCGAGGCTCGGCCCCGTCCGGCCGACCCGCAGCCTGCCAGGATGTAGCGCGTCCGACCCCAGCCCGGCCTGCGGCCTCGGCAGCTGCTCCCTCCTCCCGGATCAGCCCCGCTCCCACGGCATTCCCAGAGGACTTTCCCGACAGCAGCCGCTCCCGAGGCCGCGGCGCCAGTTCCGTACAGGATGCCCACTGCTATCCCTATCCCGAATAAAGTCTCAGGGGCTGGAGCGATGTGTGCACACCTGGTTCTGCACAGGGGAAGGAGGGAGCGCACCAAGCTGGGCCGCTCCAGCCGGGGAAAACAGCTCCCGATGTCCCGGCTGCTCCAGCACATTCCCCCTCCTCCCACTGTTCCATGGGGCACCCTGCACACCCCGCCCCTCGAGGCTGCCCTTGCCCGGGGTCCCGCGGGGGTCCCACGGGCTGGCTCTGCCTTCGCGGGTATCCATGGTGGCACAATTCCACAATTCCTCAGCCCTGCACACGCGGGCTCCCCCGTGTCCTCCCTCGGTGGCCGCGCATCCCCGGGTTGCCCCCCTGCTCCCCCCAAGCCCTCCTGCTCACGGCCGCGGCCCCCGCACATCTCGGGGTGCACGCGTTGGCCCCCGCGATCCTCGTTCATCACAAACCTGCCAGGTGAGCTCAGCACCCGCCCTTCGCCCACTGCACTCGCAGAGGAGGGAATCCCCCTGAGCAGCACAGGGGGCGAGGGACACGCTACCCCCAGACACAGGGACACCCCGACCCGCAGTGTCCCGGCTGCTGCGACACCCAAGGTGGCCCCGGGTCTGGGGACACGATGCCCGCGCTGGCCTCAAGGTGGCACTGGCCACCTTTTGTCCCCAGGACGGCCCCGCAGGGCTGGGGGGCAGCGGGGCAGCGCCCCGGGGTGCGGGCACTGCTGGGACCCGCCTGGGGCAGGGGGGCTGCCGGGGGTGGGCGAGGGGCTGGTTCCCATGGGCGGGGGGATGCAACCCACTGGTGAAGGGCTATGGCCCTCGTGGTTGAGGGACTCATGGTCCCCATGAGTGAGGGGCTGTGGTCCCCATGGGTGAGGGGACACGGTCCCCACGGATGAGGGGCTGTGGCCTTTGTGGTAGAGGGACCATGGTCCCCATGAGTGAGGGGCCCTGGCCCCATGGGCAGGGGGCCATGGTCCCCATGGGAGAGGCCCACACCCCCCATGCCCGGGGGCTGCTGCAGGAGCTGCAGGTGGCCCAAAACCTGCGAGGATGATGGAGGGGTGGGAGTGCGGTGGGGCCGAGCCCTGGGGCAGCTCCTGCTCCTGCCTCCGCCTCTGCCCGCCTCCAGCCCTGCCTTTCCTGGGCACTTTGCTCCCAGCCGTGGGAGAGCAGGAGCGGGCACAGCACGGCACGGCACGGCACAGGGCAGCCTGCAGCCCCTCGCCATGGCCTCCTGCCCCGTGGGGAGCAGGCGCTCCCCGGGGGATCCCCACTCCTGAGAGCCACCCGTGTCTGCAGGTGAGCCGGGACAGCAGCTGGGATGGCCCTGCTATGGCCACACAATCCACAGGATTTGGGGCTGAGGGGCAGGGATGGGATCCCCAGGGCTGGATGGGTGTGGGGTGGGAGTCAGCCAGTTCTCTCTACCCCTCCACCATCCCCAAATCCCTCCGTACATTCTCCTCCCTAAAGCACCACCTCCCTCTGTCACTGAGGGCCTTCATCCTTCCCAGCATGGCCACATCCTCTCCTTCATCCTCCTCTCCATCCCCCAAATCGCTGTCTCCTCACAGGGGAAGCTGTCCTGAGGCTGTCTTGGCTCAGCCTGACACCGTGGGCTCCTGGGAGACAGGGACAGCCCACCCAAGGGGGGAAGGAACCCCTCACCCCCTCCCACCCCTGCCCTGAGCAGGGGTCACCTCGGGCTGTGGTGGGTAGCAAGGAAAGGGTCCCCAGTGCCCAGCAGTGCCAGCAGATCGTGCTTTGGCTGCTCTTCCAGGCAAAGGGAAGGACTGGAATTAGGTCATGTCCCCTTGTGCCGGGGCTTTGGCTGCACGAACCACGTGGCGATTAGGGACAAGGGTCCTTCTGCAGGATGTTTTGCACAATTTCCCCTTGTTTTGCAATTTCCAAGAGCTTAGGCGAGAAGAAAAGCCCTGTTTTTCCCATGCTCCAGCAACAGCTGGTCCCAGGCTCACCCAATCCTTGGTGGCTTCTCTGAAATCCACTCTTGCCTTCCCTCTCCGAGCTCCTGCTCCTACTCCAGATCCCCAACACCAGATCCCCATCCTGTCCCAACGACTTTGGCTCCAGGGCCCAGCCTGCCTGCAGTGCTGCCCCCCTCATTCATTTCATTGGTGCCTTTCCAATGCCCCCACAACCCCTCCAGGCAAGGAATTCAGGGGATCCCCAGGATTGCAGCCCTTATGCATCTACAAAATGGGCAGGGCAGGAGGGGGCATCACCTCCACAGATCTGTGGCCTTTCCTTGCAGCATATTCCATCTCCTTGGCTCCATCTCCCCTTCCTGCAGCACCTTCCCTCTCCTCAGTTCCATGTCCTTTCCCTGCAGTGCCTTCCAGCCCCTGCTCCAACATGCAGCCCCATCTCTTGGCTCACACCTTGATCCCTCCTCTAAAGCTCACACTGGAGAGGCCTTGGCCAGGGAGAGCCTTTCTGGGAGTGTCAGTGAGGAGCAGGATCGGGGCTGGTGGTGACGTGTCCTCGGGCTGGACTGATGTGAATCAGTAATTTAAAGCACTGATTTTGGTTGTGACTAAGATGAGGACGCAGGAAACCTCTTGAGATATAACTTGCCAAATGTCATCTTCTACTGCATTTCTGTTTCTTGGTGGTTATCCTCAAAGGAATGTGCTTTGGAATGGTTAAATCCTGCTGCTGACCGTCCTCGGGCTGTATCATCTTCCAGAATCCGGGTTCCTGTGCTCTCCTCCGAGCAGCCAGCACCCCACAGCTGCTCAGGATATTTCCTTATGCATTTCCCGCACCAGGTTATTAACTTTTATTTACTGTCTTCTTCATATTTTCTTTGTCTGGTGACCTGGGTCACGGACACTGACTTTGGGCACTGAACCCTGCAGCACCTCCCCTCTGGTCGGGCTCGAGGCTTTGTGCTCACTTGCACTCAGAGGCTGGAAAAGGAAGACAAATCTCCTGGTCCCTCATGTCCTCAGCAGTGTCACAGCTCATGTCACTCTGGGCTGGGACCAGCCCAGCACCCCATGGCACCCCACTGGCACTGCGCTCAGGGGCTCAGCGTTTCCCACCAGCTGTTCCCACTCCTGGTTCTGGGAAAACAAACCAAGGTCTTCCCATTGTTAATGTTTGATCAGGACCTGCCTGTTGCTCTCTGAACTTGTCCCGGTAATAAAGGCAGGATCTTCCCGCGGTGCTGCCGGGGGATGGGAACCACGGGGAGTTTGAGCTCGGCCCAGCCAGAGGGCCAGTCCCAGCCCGCAACTCAAACAGAGCCCGCGCAGCGTGGCCGGAGAGGCCATGACCACCCCTGCCCATCTGCCTGCTGAGTCATTTACGAGCATCTCTGCACACCTGCGCTGTCTCTCCAGGCCAGGTGTGGCAGGGACAGGATGGAGCACCCGGTTGATCCCATGGATACGCCCTACGGGACACTCCTGCACATCCTCATGGCGAAGGCAAGGGGTCAACAGGAGCGGGATGACGAGAGAGCCAAGGGATGAAGGAGCATGACAGGACACGTCCTTCCACCCTGTACCACCAGCACCTGGTTAATGTCCATTGTCACCCTGAGTCCTCCCCTGTCCTGGTGCCCAGCACCTCCTGGGTGAACTCTGGCCAGCAGAACCTGGAGATGCACCATCATTCCCTCCATCAGATGTGGTTTTGGCTACACCCTTGTCTCCAACTGCAGCACAGCAGATGCTCCTGTTCCCAAGTTACTCATCCGAGCATCCATCCTTGTTGGAGGAATCATTTCATCAGGGATGGTGGTGGGTGCAGAGGGGTCAAGGTGCCAGCAGCCTTCCCTGGTCCTTTGCTGGACACCACAGAGAAGAGGGCTCTGAACTTCAGACATCCAAGAAGTGAACATGATCCTTTGACCGCTTGTGCTCACACTGATTTCCCAGGAGGATGCAGATCCAGCGTCTGATCCTAACACAGTGCAGGAGGAAATGTCCTGCCTTGTTAACTTGCACCGCCTTGAGCTGGGACCCGGCCCCAGTGCAGCTCCTCTCTGCGGGGCTGAGCTCATCCCTCTCCACGGAGAATGCCCGGCAGCCGAGGCCCCTCACCATCCGGGGACACTCTCCCAAAGGCTCCTTTACCAACCCCCCCAGGATTCCTCTGGGCCACAACATTCCCCCAGACAAGCCTTTCTTCTCCTCCCGCCTTTCTTCTGTCAAGGAGCCCTCTGGGAGCGGCAGCATTGTCAGGATGGTGCCAATTAGGCTGAGGCAGCTTCCAAGCGGCTGCGCTGGCCCTGCCGGGGCTGCTGTTGCTCATCAAGGTCTCATTGTTCGCCGCGCCGTGGGGCTGCTGCCCGGCGGGGCCGGCGCGGCCCTCTGTGCCCGGCACGCTCCCGCTCCCGTCCCTGCGCCGCTCAGGGGGCTCATCAAGGGGTGTCATTGCGGGGGCTGCGGAGGGAGGGCTTGCCCAGGCTCCCCCCCCCAGGCCCCCAGGGTGCGAGCTGAGAAAAACCAGAGGACCATCAAAGTGGCCGAAGCTCCTGGAGGGGGGCAAAATCTGGCATCTTTGGCTCCTTTCCACGCTTTGTGCCTGACAATGGTCGGGATCGGCGACTAATGTGCTTTTATTAACTGCTCCCCCAGATCTGGCTCGGAGAACATGGCCACTGCGGGGAGGACATTCCCAGTTGCCCTGTGGACACCGACGCCGGCTCCCTGGCTGGGGGGGAACACCACTGAGGTGGCCGAGGCAAAGTGTGTCTTCAACGAGGAGTTCAAGTTCATCCTGCTGCCCCTCTCCTACAGCATTGTCTTTGTGGTGGGGCTGCCCCTCAACTCTTGGGCCCTGTGGATGTTCATCTCCAGGATGAGGCCCTGGAACGCCACCACCACCTATATGGTCAACCTGGCCGTGTCTGACACGCTCTACGTCCTCTCCCTCCCCACCCTGGTCTATTATTATGCCGACCGCAACAACTGGCCCTTCGGGAAATGGCTCTGTAAGATCGTGCGGTTCCTGTTCTACGCCAACCTCTACAGCAGCATCCTCTTCCTCACCTGCATCAGCGTCCACCGCTACGTGGGCATCTGCCACCCCATCCGCTCCCTCAAGTGGGTGAAGACCAAGCACGCCCGCATCATCTGCGTGGGTGCCTGGCTCGTCGTCACCGTCTGCCTCATCCCCAACCTCATCTTCGTCACCACCAGCTCCAAGGGCAACACCACCCTGTGCCACGACACCACCAAGCCCGAGGAGTTCGACCATTACGTGCACTACAGCTCCTCTGTCATGGCCCTGCTCTTCGGGCTCCCCTTCCTGGTCATCGTGCTGTGCTACTGCCTGATGGCCAAGCAGCTCTGCAAGTCCAGCTTCTCCAGCCCCAGCCCACAGATGCCCTCCTACAAGAAACGCTCCGTCAAGATGATCGTCATCGTGCTCGCTGTCTTTGCCATCTGCTTCGTGCCCTTCCACATCACCCGCACCCTCTACTACACCTCCCGCTACTTCCAAGCCGACTGCCGGACCCTCAACATCATCAACTTCACCTACAAGATCACGCGGCCCCTGGCCAGCATCAACAGCTGCCTCGACCCCATCCTGTACTTCCTGGCCGGGGACAAGTACCGGGGGCTGCGCCGGGGGGCCGCCCACCGGCTCCGGCCCGTGCCCACCTGCAGCCTGGCCCTGGTGTCACCCTACACGGACACCCTCAGGGACAGCAGCCACGTGGCCAGTGCCACCCGAGGCACAGGGACAGCGCGGAGCGGGGGCGGGTGCTGAGGGGCCCAAGGGGGTCCCATAACCTCATCCCTGGGCTCCAGGAGCTGCAGCCCCTCCGGGCTCCATGTGGGCACCCCCAGACCTGCCCTGCCCCTGCCCAGCCTCTGCAGGGCTGAGGGCTGGAGGCCACAGGGACAGTGCCAGCCCTGCCCTGGGATGCTCTGCAAGGAGGGTGCTGGTGCTGGTTGGGGCAGGAGAGCACGCCTGGGAATGGGAAGGACACTGAGGAGGCTGTCTGGGGGAAGCAGGCTGGTGTCCCCTCCCAGGGCGCTCCTGGGGACACAAGGGGGGTGACAGGTCACTAAAGAGAAGGGACACTGGTCCTTCCCTGGGCAGGCACTGCCCTTCCAGACTGCTCGTATGGGGAACAGACTGAACCAGGGGACAGAGCCCACGCTGGGGTCCTCCCTGCCTGGTTCTCAGAGACGTCTCTGTCACCCCACTGGCCTTGGCAGACGAGGAGAGATGTGACATGGGGCACTTGCAGCACTTGCTGCCTGCCACCCCCCAATAAAGCCCCTTCCCCTTTGCTCCTGCCTGTTTCTCCCTGCAGCGCAGGGAAGAGGAAGGAGATACCCACCCTCACCCCAGGGAAAAGCCACCTCCACCAGGACACCAGTGCTGGGGCAGGCCCGGAGCGATGAGCTGCTGCCACCCCTGCTGACGGGGAGGCTCTGGGGAATGTGCCTTTATGGGTGTTTGCTCCTCAAATGTTTACCCAGCCCTTTTGTTTGACCAAGTGCCTGCGCAGAGGAGCAGACCAAGATTGGTATCAGCACTGTTGACTCTCCCATGCCAGCCTGGCAGGGATGGGACAGGGACAGGGCTGTCCCTACCGTGGGGAGCCCCAGGAGGGGCCATCCCCATAGAGCCCCACAACTCCTGTCAGCACACACCTTGGGAAGGGACACCCAGAGCATCATCGAGGTGTCACCTCTGCCAGGGCACTGGTCACACAAGCTACACCCCACCAGGAGCTGCCCAGGGGAAGGAAAGGGCCCCAAGGATGGCACACCCCAGCCCTGTGTCCCCATCCTACCAGTAGTGGTGCCCAGAGAGCCCCTCACTCACCACTGAGCCGAGAGCAGAGCGAGCAGGAGATTCCCCCTCCTGAGCCCAGTTACCCCAGGAAGAGCAGCTGCTGCCCCTCTCCTCCCATTATATCCAACGTGGCTCAGGTGCACTGGGAGTGGCTTGGTTGCACCTGAGCAGTGCAAGGGGCCCTGCCAAGAACAGCCCCAGCTGGAGATGGACCTTCCCCAGAGGGACACAGGGGATGGCAGGTCCACCCACATGGGGAATGTATGGGTGTGTCCCAGTCCTGCCCGTCCTGACCCCCAGAACACACACAGACAGGGGTGGGGAGTTGGAAACCTGTATTGGGGACAGAGGCATCTGAAAAGGCTCATCTGAGACCACATGGTCCTGGCTGAGGCCAGTTCCACAGGTCCCCAAGTCTAGGAGTGTCCCCACTCAAACCCAGGGTGGGATGTTCCCCAAGGCTGGTCCCACTCACCATCAGGATGCCACCCCAAAGATCCTACTTGATTTCTCCTCCCATGGCACCCCCTCCCTCAGCTCGTGGTGACCTGGTTATCTGGGGGAGTGTACCCATCACTGGTCCTCAGCCTCACCCCAGCCCCTCCCAGGGGACAGCTGTGTCACCTGCAACCCCTCCAAACCCCTTCCAAGGGGGATCCTTTCCCAATCTCCCCCTGGCTTCCTCCTCTCCTCCCACCTCCCACTCAGGTTTTTGGGGCAGAGGAGCGGAGGGCTGGGGTGGGGACTGTGCCCCGTGTGTCCCCCGTGCCAGGCCGGCTGAAATCCCCGCCCTGGGGAGCCGGGCTGGGGCCGCCGGGGCCGGGGGGGCTCAGAGGATGTGCAGCTCGTCCGTCTCAGACAGCCCGTACTTGGTCTTGTTGTCGTTGAAGAGCTTGAGCAGGGCCTGGATGTACATCTCGTGGTACGTGTCCACCAGCTCCCGGCTCGGGTTCTGCACCTTGGGCACCGTCAGCGGCTCCCCCACTGCCAGCAGGGGACAGGTCGGGGTCAGACCGATGGCCTGGGGACATGCTGGGCTCATGGGGACACGGCCCGAGCGGTGCCTTCCAGAGGGGCAACATCCCTGCTCTGCCCCACCTTCTGGGGTCCCCCCAGCTGCTCACCCACGGTGGTGATGGGTCTGGCGTAGGGCAGGAAGCCCCGGGAGCGGCTGGAGGTGAGGCCGCGGCCGTAGAAGACGCAGGGAGCGAAGCCCATCATCTTCTGGAAGCGCTGCTGGATGCTCCTCATCCAGCTGCCCTCCTCAAACACCACCTGGCGGAACAGGTCGTTCTCCCCAAAGGAGAAGGAGGGGACGAGGAAGGCCCTGTGGAGGGGACACGGTGAGGGGTGCCAGGGCCCCAGGGCCACGCAGAGGTGGCCGTGCCTGTGCCCCGCCCGTGACCCACCCGTGGCGCAGGGCCATGCGCACGAAGCCCTTGCGGTTGCGGAGGATGAGTGTGGTGACGCCGGGCCGGCAGGACAGCGACTCGGCCGCGCCGCCGATGACGATGGCCACCGCGTTGCCGGTGCCGTTCTGGGACAGCAGGTACCCGATGGCACGGCGGGTCACCGGGAACAGCCCTGCGGCGGGAACGGGCACCCGAGCTGTGGGACTGCCCGCCAGGGGTGGGGACAGCACCGGGACACCACGAGGGATCACACCTGGTGGGACCAGGGCAGGGACAGCGCAAGGGCACCCCCTGGTGCAGGCAGGGTGCAGGCAGAGTGTAGGTGGAGTGCACGCAGGGTGCAGGCAGGGTGTAGGTGGAGTGCAGGCAGGGGTGCAGACAGGGTGTAGACAGCATAGACAGGGTGTGGGCAGGACACAGGCAGGGTGCAGGCAGGACACAGGCAGGGTGCAGGCAAGGTGCAGGCAGGGTGTGTGTTGGGTGCACGCAAGGTGCAGGCAGGGTTCAGGCGAGGTGAAGGTGCAGCTCAGGCAGAGCACATCCCTGCCCTGCTGCTCCTGGGAGCACCATCGCTCCTGTGTTTCCCTCGGAGGGATCAGGCAGAGCTGGGCAGGGGCTGCTCACCCCCACTCATCAGGTACTCCCGGAAAAGGGGCAGGCGGAAGTTGCCAGCCAGGGTGGTGAGGAAGGAGTGGATTCCCGGGAACATCTCCTCGAAGCCCGTGGAGCCCGTGATGAAGTTGCAGAAGGCACCGACGCAGAGGATGCCGTGGGGGTGGGAGCCGATGATGTAGTTGTGTCTGGGGGACAGATCGTGGGTCTTCACCAGCTGTGGGGACGAGAGGGGTCACAGGGACATGGCACCTCCTTTTGGGTGGTCCCACCCCCAGCACCTGCAGGAATCTCCTGTCCTGGCACTGTACCTTCACCGGGAAATAATCCCGAAAGTGCTTCCACACGGTCCATCGCCGCAGGCACGGCAGCCTCCTGCCACCTGTAATCCAGGGAGGGACCACAGCACATGACACCCACGCCGCCTGGCAGCGGGATCCATGGGAAACACTCCCCTGGACCTGCTGCATCCCTGTTCCCACCACGGTGCCGATGGTGTGGGAGTGGAGGGAAGGGGCAGGTGGGACGGGGTTCTCCCCATGGGCTGTGAGGGACCCAGAGGAAGAAAGGACCCCACCCCCCGTCCTGCTGCAAAGCTGGAGGAAGAGGGATGTTCCCATCCCCACCTCTCTCCGGCGTGTTCCAGTCGAAGATGATCCAGGCCAGGTAGAGCGCAGGGATGAGCCAGAAGCTGGTGAACAGCAGGTAGATGAGCACCACGAGGCTGACGGTTCCTGCGGGGCCGGGCAGGGGGTGAGCGGGTGTGTGCCCACCCCCAGGGCCCCCCGCAGCCCCCTACTCACCCAGCAGCAGGAAGCTGAGCACCCACTGCAGGACGGCGAGGAGCTGGAGCGCGGAGCGGACGTCCCGCTGGGAGGGCCAGGGCACGGCCAGCAGCGTGCGCAGGGCGGCCTGGACGCTGGCACGGCTCCCTGTGGAGGGGGACACGGCCCCAGCCCAAAACAGCACGGCTTGAGCACAGCCTGGCCCACTGGGCTGGCAGGAGCACCCAGGGGTGCCAGGGCTGGGGTACGGGGCGAGGCAGGAGGTGGGATGGGAAGGGTGAGCAGTTGGGTGAGGAGGGATGGGATGTGGTGGGGTGGGATGGGGGATGCCATCCCCAGAGAGCTCTGGACCATGCCAGGAGGCGGCCCTGGGCAACCAGGGTGCTCTGGGCACAGAGCAGGGGGAAGATGCCAGGGTGAGGCCCACAACCCCAGACACGCCATGCACCAGCAGAGCCGAGTGCAGCAGCACATCCCGCTCCGTGCCGACTTCCCAAGGGCTGGGACCTTTCCCATGCCCTCCTTGGCGTGCTCAGGCTCACAGAGGATCTGGGGATTTCTCAGCTGGCACAGCAAGGGAGGCACCACCCCCCAGCAGGTGCCAAGGACAGCGGCTGGGCCGAGCTGGGTGGATGAGGGTGGCCGTCCCTCAGCCGTCCCCACAGCCCGGGACACTCCGGAGCCGCTGCTGCTCCGCTCCCCCTCGGCCCCTTCCCTCTGGATGACCTTGGTGAACCATTAACCATCCCAGGCCGGGTGCCAGGATCCAAACTCCACACACTGCCCCGTCCCTCCTCCCAAAATGGGCCCGAGGCGCTGGCTCTGCCAGCGCCGCTCCCGGCCAAAGGTCCACCATGGCCGAGACCACCAGCACAGCCACCACACAGGGATACCCTGAGTGCCACCAGAGCCGGGTTTTCTTGGGAAAACAACCCAAAATCTGCGTGTTGGCCAGAGGGATGCTCAGGGTGAGAAAGGAACAGCCCTGTCCCTGTGGCTCCCCAGACCAGGGTCCCTCAGGTTAGGAGAACCATCAGACCTTAGTTCAGGAAGCTGGTGGAGGTTCAACTCTTCCTGGCTCAACCCAAACCAGGAATGGGACGACTGAAATAAATGAAACACTGGAGCCATCTCCAGCATTGAGGAATTGTTGTGCATTTCTCCCAAGCAGCATGGCAGGCTCTGAGAGATCCCTTCCACCCATCCCACATCCCCAAAAGCCCACACAGCCCTGCCATTCGCAGCTTTCCAAAGCCTGTTTTTTGCCCAGAGCTCTTCCAGCAACCTTGTGCCCACCAAGCAGTGGTTTTCAGTTCCTTTTCCTAGCTCCCATCCCAAGAACTCCATGAACATCCAGACCACAGACACAGAGAACCCCCACGGTTCTGCTGCCGTTCCCGTCTGCAACAATGGGAGCCTCTGCAAACCCCAACATTTGGAATTTGCAGCGCTCTGGAGATTCTTGTGAGAGTGACATTCCCAAACGCATTGTCAGAAATTCCATTCCTGTTGAGCAACTCTGTGTTTTCCTCTGGAGTTATCCCCAAATCTCTCCCAACACCTCCCTTTCCCCTCAGCACTCCAAAGCAAGCACACAACAGCAACAACGAGCTCCTGGCGTTGCTGGAGCATCGGAGCCCATCCCAGCCCCCTTTGGGAATGTCTCACCACTAAGATTT